TGGGTTTTCTTCTGAGGCCATTGAGGGAGGCCAGCATCCCTCGCCTCCACCTTCGACGTGCTGGCCATGATGCCTCCGAAGAGGCTGGCCCTTCCCTCCCTCTCTTCACCGGTGCCCAGTTCCACACGCCCCCAGCACCCCACCCTCACACCGCGCGGCTCCCCGTTTCCTCAGGAGCCTTTCCTGACCCCACACTCGTGTTTAAATTAGCCTAGCCTGCCTCGGTGTTCTCTCCTTCCTCTTCATAGAGCCCACCACAGTTTGCAACTAGACATATAACGGCCTTCTTACTTCTATTTATCTGTCTCCCTACTGGATAGTCAGCACACATACTGTGCATGGCACACACGCATACACAGCGCCAGTACACGCACATACACACAGTACACACACGTGTACACAGTACCAGGGCCCGGCCTGTCGGCTATGTAGTTAGTACCCAATAAATAATTGTTCTTTATTGAACTAATCAATAATTTTTCCCCTAAAGAACATTCTTAATATCTTGAGCATATTTTTCAATAAATGAGATAAAAGACTAATTTTAATACAAATAATGATGTCTTTCTAAATATATTCAATTATAAGTGTGGCGCTGACAGGTCACAAATTTAAACATCTCTCAATAAAATCTGTGCTTGAACCACTATACAGCCCCTCTGGGATTTATGACCAGAATTTTCCGCTGCTCTTAAAGTTTTTCTTTTTAAATAGCTTAGATTAGAGCTTTTTGTTGTTGTTTTTGTTAATCCTCACCCGAGGATGTTTTTTCCCCGTTGATTTTTAGAGATAGTGAAAGGTAGGGGGAGAGACAGAGAGAGAAACATTGATTGGTTACCGCCCGCACACGTCCCAACCAGGGCCAGGGACTGAACTGCAACCCAGGGACATGCCCTTGACTGGGAATTGAACCCAAGACCCTTTGGTGTGAGGGCCGATGTTCTAACCACGGACCTCAACCAGCGGGGGCAGATTAGAACATGTTTGATGGTTGGATATCTAATAGTGGTAGAAGGCAGGAGAAGAAAATCTTCTAGCTGCTGCCTGTGTACAAGCCCCTTTTAAAATTCCCAGTTTATAAAAAGGAGCTTGGGAGATGAAAGGTCAGGTGGGCCCCCTCCGCAGCTGGCACCGTACACTTCGTAACAAAGCCCCAGTTTTGAAATAACTGAAATACATTCAGCAGCGAAACTGTGGGAAGCAAAATTTCACTTTTCTCCTCTTCAGACCCCAGCACCTTGGACGGCCGCTGGGTCCTCCCAGACAGCAGGTGCCGTTCCTTTCACTCCTGTAGTCAGAGACCAGAGCAGAGAGCTGGCTGCTGCACTGTGTGCGGGTGGGGTTTGGACAAGTGCGATTTGGGCGGTAATTCCCAGGTAGTTGGGCACAACCAGCAGCTGAGGCTCTGGGAGAGAAGCCCTCCCCTCCCAGGCCCGGCCAGCCTAATGCGTCTCTCTCTCCTCCCCAGCCCAGTGACTTCTCCGTGTCTCTCAAAGCGTCAGGGAAGAACAAACATTTCAAGGTGCAGCTCGTGGACAGCGTCTACTGCATCGGGCAGCGGCGGTTCCACACCATGGACGAGCTGGTGGAGCACTACAAAAAGGCCCCCATCTTCACCAGCGAGCACGGCGAGAAGCTCTACCTCGTGCGGGCACTCCAGTGACGCCTGCCCGGGCCCTGCCGCCTCCAGCCCCGGTGCCACCCTCACTTCCCCGAACCACGAGGTGGCCCCGAGAAGACGTGGCCTCCTCTGCCCGGCTGATCTGTCCGGGCCGTACCTGCCTCCTGTTGGCCACCCCAGGCCCTCGCTCCATGTCCCAGGCCACCGCTCCTGACCAGTGTAGAGAAGGGAGGGGCGGGTTTGTTCTCTTTATTTCTGCTCCCTTGGAAACAGCCTCAGTCTGTTCAACCTGTTCATGCCGTCAGCACCACGATGAGAAGACACGGTGCAGCGGGAACGCACGGAAGCTGCCCGGGATGGAGCGACCCACAGCACACCCCGGGGCCTCGGCGAACGCTGGGCTCTGATCCGGCAGTGCAGGCGGAGGTCCCGGTCCCCAGCAGCCCCTGCTCAGCCCTTAGCCCTCACCTGGTGTCCAGCTCTCCAGGAGTGGACCGTCTGCTGGGAGCAATCCCGGAGCCACCAGGGAGGCCGCAGCGAGGAAGCTGCCCAGTGCCTTTGGGGCTGTGCTTGCAATAAAGCGTTCCCGGAAGGTCCGTCTGCAGGAGGGACGGCCGCTCGGAAAGAGACGTTTGGTGATCTATCCCCCGGTGTGCCATCCACATAGTGCTTTCTCCTCTTGCCTTTGGCTTAAGTTCACAGTTTTTAATTCTCAAAGCGATAGGTATCTGTAGCCATTTATTGACACTAAAACAGATGATTAAGGAAAACAGCTGATCTTTTGGGAAGGGAAGCTACCAACACTTTACACACACACAATATATACATATATATTTTATATATATATTATTTGCTTTACAGGGTTTTTCAGGGTGTACAAAGGAATATGTAATTGGTAGGAAAAGACACACAGAATGTTTGTTTTCTTTTTTTATTTACATTTGAACTTCTTTATAGTTTAAATATACTATCTTGAGATGGCACATTCCTACAGTCAAAGAAGGGGTCTTGAGACCTCCTCAACTTGCATACTGAGTTTTTTGGATATTGTAATAAAAAAGTATTACAACAAGGCTGTGTGTGTGTCTTGGGGACCGACTCTGTGACGGAGGCTCTGCAGAACCTGCTGAGCCCTGAAGGGAGGCGTCTGAGAGGAGTCGCACGTGGCCGTCACAGCGGGTTTCCTTCTCTCTGCCTCATCTCTCTGTAGTGAAACAATACGTTACCTCCTGAAACTCCCAGAGAAACCACAGTCATCAGCTAGGCCCCCACCTCAGCTTCCCCCTGCACTCACCTCACTTCGCTCACTCGGGAGGTGGGTGCTGCCATCACCCCCGTTATACAGATGGGGAAGGAAGGCACCACATCACTGCACCAGGGGCGTGGCTGGTACATGGTGGGCAGGGCTGCAAACCCAGGGTGTCCGCGCCCTTCCCACCAGCCTCGGGCATCCAGGAGAAACGAGGCATCCCATGAGCATCTGCACAGGGTCTGTCATCCCTGTCCCTTGAGAGTCAGTGGTGCCTTTTCGTTGCCTTTGACATAAATTAGAAATTCGATAATAAATTGGAAGTTTGGTGTCTGGTGCCCTTGGTTGGGGCCACACAGTATAGAAGAGGAATGAGGCAGGTGAGGACTCAGACAACACGCTGATTCACTGCTGTCTCCAGCAAGGAGCTACTCCTCTGACTCCTCCCGGTCTCACTGTTGGCATCACATTTTGTCCTCACGCTAGAATCCCTCCAGGCCAGCGGTTCTCAGCCGCTGTGCTGAGGGCACCGGGGTGTCGTGGGAATTTTTAAGACACGCAGTGCCTGCCTCTTTAGCCAGAGGACTGACTTCTTTCCCCTAGATTGTCAGGTTAAAAAATGACAACAGTAGTGTGAATGCCCTGGCTGGAACCATAAATGTATAGGTCATGTCATAGAACTGCATCTTATTGGTCACATTGCATTCATAAGGTCACACCTATTGGGTTAATTCTTGGCACCAGAAATCCTTATGTACAAGTTAGGCACCTGATTTTTTTTTAAAAGTTACTTTGAAACAAAAAAGGTGGGTAATTACTATTATTATTTTTCATAAATCAATCAAAATTACACCTATTTTTTGGTCAGATTAGCAAAATATGTGATCTATTTTTTGGTGTGCTGCTGAGTTTTAGTGACTAGTTTACGTGGCCTGAGGGGAATGTTATGTTGCAAAGCGCTGCTCTAGAGAGCAAGTGCCAGGATACGGACAGGCTGAGTAGACACAGCACTTCGGGGAGAAACGAGCGGGACACGGGACAGACACGTGTTTTGGCTTCAGGAACTTGGAGGCTTACGGTTGTGATTGACAGTTATTTTCAGTCTTGTCCCAAGCTGCTGTGCGAGTCCTCCGGCCGCCGGGTGGGTCAGAGTTGTCTCTATGAAGGACGCAGTGCCCGGGATGGTCTGGCAGCAGGTGGGCCAGGAGCGGGCAGTGAGGCCAGGTGAAGCATCGGCGGCATGGGGGCAGGAGGTGACGGGCAAGGGCCCGCGTGGCTTGGAGTGTGGACTGCCTGTGCCCAGGCGGCACCACTGCCGCCCCCTCCTGCACGCCGGAGAGTCCCTGGGCGGGGCTGGCGTTGTGGCCCCTGGCCTCTGCAGACGGCGGGGGATGTTCAAGGTCATTCATTTCTTCATCGTGTGGCGGCTCATTTCCGTGCACTAACTGCCCTCATTTTTCACGGACAGCCCCCTAGTCGGTGCTGAACCCCCAGCCCTCCCACATTGCTCATGCAGTGCCATTCTCCCATGTGTCTAGTGCGCTGAGCTGTCCATCTCTTCCGAGGTGCATCACAAACTGAAATCTTAAATTAGAATTTTTGCATCCACTGAAACTCGCATTTCTGAAAAGGCATTCTTGGTAAAAGGACAAATTTGTCTGGTTTCTATGTGCTTGCGGGTTTATAATTTACTTCTGTACCAGTAACTCCTTAAGACCAACTTTCAGAACTGAGAGGATAGGAAAGTTTGAAAGAATTTATTACTTGCCAATAAATACAGGTTGGGTTTTGGCGTTCTCTCACGAGAAGCCAGCAATGTTGGGCTTTATTTGTCGTTGCTGTGTGATCAGTGTCAGTGCTACACTAAGTCACTCCTTGCCCGGTGGCAGCTGCTATCCCATGAGCAGCGTCCCTCGTCCCGACATGGCCGCTCTGTCCACAGCCCGCGGGAGCGCCGGCTGCCCTTGGCCGTGCGGCTTCAGGCAGAGGTGTTGGCTTCCCCGGTGGCTCGCTCACAGGTAGGTGGGCTGCTCCCATCTGTGTCCTCCCAGGCTGTGAGGATCCGCTGGGGGAGCACTCGGTGCACTTCCTTATGTGCTACCCCACCGGCGTCCACGCAGCCAGGCTTCCCGTGTGGCCCGGAGCCTCCTGGGCCTGTTTCCTCCTTGGCAGGAACTCATCAGTGCCTCCTCCTCCCGCTCCCTTGGGGCAGCCAGACCAGGTCCCTTCAGACACTCTGCTCCTGGCCTTGCGGACTCAGAGCCAAACCACCCCCGTGCAGCCATCAGGCTCTCCCGCATTTAAAGAGGTGCTGCTCCGAGACTCGGGCAACCTGCGTGAGCCCTCAGTCACCCAGCCTCACAATGCACACCCCTCCCGTTCTCCCCTGGGGAGTGAAGATGCACATCACACCCTAAAGTGAGTCCTGGAGAAGCACCTTCAAGGTGGGGCCGGACACCTCCCTGCTCCTGGGGTGGGAGGCGCTTGCATCTCAGCCTGAGCTGGCAGCACTGGCGTTAAGTATTGTGTGAACGTTGAATAAGGCCACTAACGTCCAGAAAACCTTTCCCCATCTTACGTCTGGCAATGCGAGGTCGGGGCAGCAGCACAGTCTGGTTTGGGTGGGACCCTCCTCCATGGTCCAACCTGGTGGGGAGAGCCAGCCGGCCCCCTGGCCTTCCTCAGGGCATTGGTCCCATTTGTGGGGCTCCTGGAGTGACCTCCCAAAGCCTCCCTACCCATCCCATCACACTGGGACTAGACTGCCACATGTGAACTTGGGGGGTGCAAGCACTCAGTGCCTAAGACCCTCTGCTCAACAGGCGGTATCGCTGTGAGGGAGCCGCTATTCTAAAGGAGGGGCTCATGCAGACCCAGGGGCGTTGTAGTTCCAGCCACGAGTAAATGCCCTCCACGCAGCTCGCCTTCCGGCAGGCAGAGGTGCAGGGCCGACACCTGCCTGCTAACTGCTCCCTGAAGAGTCTCTTGTGGGCACTGGGGGTGCCGCTCTGGGCTACTTAACTTTTGGGGGACACCCTGACCCCTCTCTGCCCCCCTTCCCCCCCGCCTTGTGCATGCTCTCATGTGACTGACATTTTCTACAGCAGGTCCTTTCTTTGGGTCATGCAAAGAGAGATAATCTGGTACTGGATGCCTGAAATGATCTATTTTTTAAAACAGTCATTTGCCTTAACCTCCATTTGGATGTTGCCTGTCGCAGCCACCAGCTGCCTGGGAGGACTCGGCGTGTCCGTCTTTCGGGGTCCTGTTGCTGGGCGGGCAGGAAGTTGTCACTGGAGGCGGATGAGCCCAGCTGGTATGAAAGGGAACTTTGACAGCTGCTACAAGGCGTGGCCTCCCACCCAGGGTGGGCATTGCGCCAGCTCTTCAGCGTGGGGACCAAGTTACGCAGCAAAGTTGGGAACCAGAGGCCCAGAGCTTGTACTCGAGCTCCCACTGATGGGTGAGGGCGAGAACAGAGAGGCCGAGGCCCTACCTTCATGGCCATCGAAGCCGTCGACCTGCAGGTCTGCCCCTGGCCAGCCTGGGACCTCCACCGCGTTCTGAAGTGAAAGGGCCTCAGAACAGTGAGAGCTGCACTTCTTGCACAGGGTGATGTGACATTTAAATCAGGTGAACTGCTGTGCACACTGATCCTGAGAGCCTTTTACAGCTTTTAAACGATCTTAATGAAAAGGGGAAATACATTAATACGCTAAATGCTTATCTAAATAAGCCTAGTAATCCGAGTCTGCAGACCACATCCTCTCTTAGGACCACGAGACCCAGACACCATATGCAAACGATTTCAGCCTGGAGCTCCATGGAGTCCCGGTGGCATTCAGACGCAGAATTGCTTTCTGTAAGGAGAAAGGTTTCTGCTGTGGACTTTGCTTGGTTTCCTGGTGGTTTTAGAAGATAGTTTTATCTTTGGTTAATATTTTCATCAAAAATGCCTATTAGGAACATGATCGCCAAATTCAAAAATGGAGTCAGTTACCACAGAACAGAATCCTGACCAAGATCATCAAAAGTTCTTAACTTTCTCAGTTAAGCCTCCCTGACTGTGCTGATCCCACAGCACCTATCACAGCTTCCAACATCCTGGGTAATTTACTAACTATGCTCATTATCAACTACCTGTACCCCCACCCCCGACACACACACACACACACACACACACACACACACAGCCAGGCTTCTAAGTTCTACAAAGGTTGGGGGACTGGTTTTGTTACTGCTATAACCCAAACAGAACCCAAGCAGTGTGTGCAGCATAGCAGGCACTCGGTAGGTATTTAATAGCACCGAGTGAATCCACCTGAGAGAAACGAGTGCCTGCGCTGAGCCCTTTCATGTCTGAAAGCGCCCTTGTGTTGCCCTTGGAGAATGTTTGCTTGGCTGGATGAGGTTCAGGCATCACTTTTTTTTCTTTCATAATCCTGGATCCAGTTCTATCTTTGTGGCCTTTAGTCAGCCCAGTGCTGCTCCCATCCACACCCCATCCTCATCCTCCTCACCCCACACGAGTAGGTCCCTTCCCAGCACCCCCGCACCTCCCCCAGCCCTGCACCACCTTCATCCTGCGTGAGGTCTTCTCCATCCCCAATACATAGTTCCCTCTCTTAGCCACCAGGAATTTAGTCTATTTGCTTACTGCATTCTGCTCTACTAAAGAGTCATTTTTGTTGTTGTTAATCCTCACCCAAGGATATTTTTTCCAGTGCTTTCTTAGAGCGGAAGGGAGTGAGGGCAGGAAAGAGAGAGAGAGGCATCGATGCGAGAGAGATACATTGATTGGTTGCCTCCCACAGTTGCCCCAACAGGGGTCAGGGAGTGAGCCCAGAGCCCACGTGTGTGACCTTGACCAGGAGTTGAACCCGTGACCCTTTGGTGCACTGGCCAATGCTCTAGTCACTGAGCATGCCGGCGAGGGCCTAAATAGTAACTGTTTAAAAATGAGATTAGTGTAATTTTAATGCCAAACAAGATTTAGACAGAATGAGAAGAAAAATAAAAAGCTAATCTCACTTAACATACTAGAGGCCTGGTGCACAGCTTCGGGCTTCGGTGGGGTCCTTCGGCCTGGCCTGTGGGGGTCGAGCCGAAACTGGCTTTCTGATTTCCCTTGAGGGGTCTAGGATTGTGAGAGGGTGATTCTCAGTGATGCACCCCGCAATCGGACTTTCTCCTCTCTGGTTCCAGGTGCGTCACCCGAGAACCATAGCTGCCAAGTGACTGCAGCTTGGCAGCTCCTGTGTTGAACATCTGCCCCCGTGATGGTCAATGCATGTCATAGCTACTGGTCGGTCAAGAGCAAAACATATACAGCAATAGAACTAAAGGGTGACTTTGCACTGCCCTCACAATATTTCTTCCCTCCACCATCTCTTCCCTCCACTTCCATCTCATCACTTACTTGCGAGGAAGGCTCCTCAGCTCCCTCCTGTCCACCAGAGATGACGAAAGCTGAGCACTGGGTCCCTAACACGCTCTGACTTCCTTTGGAGCACCAGTTCCTCCACATCTTATCAGAACTCTTGTCGCCATTCCACAGACAGGCCTAATGGGCACAGGCTTCCTGTATCAGCTCACTCCTTCAGCAGTTCTGTTCCTCTGCCCTCCCAGCCCTGTGCCCAGCCGCATGCTCAGCTCCCTTGTCACATGGCCCCTCCCCGGGACCTGCAGCACTGCTCTGGTACCAGGACCTGCCTGGTTATTGCTGGCCGACTTCTCTGGTGTCTACCTGTGCCTGCTCTCCCATCAGACTCAACCACTCTGGGTTGTATCATATGAAATTGCCTTTTTTCCAGGTCAAATATGGAACATTAGCAATTTCATAAGTTACAACCTAGAAACTTGTCTCAGAGTCTGTAAAACTGTGCTCCCTGTATCCAGTAGCTGCTTAGTGAATATTTGTTGATTTGAATAAAAAAGAGAGCCTATGAAATCGCAATGTAAAACACTGAGAAGGGACCACTGACGTGATCAAAGGTTGGCTATAAAGGGTACCTGCTTGGTCCCAGCGGCACTTTGATGTTCCCGGTTCGCACGCACAAGCACCGCGTTGGAGGGGACAGGCCTGGCTCTCCTAGCCCAGGACCTGGCAGAGACCGCAGGTCCTCTGAAAGGAGCCAGGGTCCTATTCAGTAGAGCTGTGGTTTCTTCTGTCTAATAATTGACCACAGAACTTCTGCAAAATCCCTCAAAGTGGACACCACATGTGATCTGTGACCTTTTAAAAGAAATTGTGGCAAAACACACACAATAAAAGTTATCATGATCCTTCTTAATTGTACAGTTAAGTGGCCTTAAGCACATTCACATGGTTGTGCTACCATCACCAACATCCATCTCCAGAATCATCTTACAAAACTGAAACTCTGTCCCCTAAACAACTCCCTTTCTCCCCTCCCCCATCCCTGGGCACCGCCATCCCACTTTGTCTCCATGAATTTGGCTACTCTAGGTACACTGGTTGGCTCACCAATGTGCTCATTCCATTTCTAAACCCAGCATTTAGCACTTCTTTTTAATTAGTTTGATTAATATCTAGTTTCACTTTAAGTGGATTAAGTAACCACCATTAAGAATTTTAATTTACATTTTATGTCGATTAATTCAATTTCCTTATTTAAGTATTTAAGTTATCTAATTAACAAACAAACCTTTCCAAGTACTTAAGTAATCCTTGGAAATCTAATCAATTAAAGTTATAACTATGTTGAGTCCTGAGCCCCCTCAAAGGTTCTGGTGTTGTTATGCATTTAGTAAGATTACAACCTAAATTCAAAAGTCTCAACCCAGTTATGCATTTTAAATTTACACACCAACTTCGCATAAATATTATAAGTTCACTTATAAGCCCACTATGCACAGGGATTCTTATCTAAAAAATATTGGTGCTATAGCTTAATTCTCTTAAACATCCTATATTTAATTCCAAATCTTCCCAGGATTAAGGAATACTTATCTACAAAAGAAATCATCGCCATCCCAATAGTGTTGCATGGCTTTC